GCTCTTATGTTGGGCCTTTTATCAGTATATTCCAAAGCACTTTACAAAGGAGTTTAGTACAACATTGTATAAGTGGGAGGTCTTGCCTAGAATTAATTTGGAGTTATGGTACAGGGTGGATGGCGTGAACTGCAGTGAAAGTGCTGAATGTTACATGATGTACCTACTGTAGGTTTCAGAAGCATTTACTGAATGGCCACATTCAAGATTGTGAGTGAAGAATTAATGAACTGGCTTTTGGGGAAGAGAGGCTCTCAGATATTGTGAGGGGGGTGGTATAAGAACTTGAATAGAATAGAACAGGAAGTAGCCTTACACAAAGTCTGTTGTGCACATACTTGATAAACACATGTAGCAGTTCCATAATCATGGGTTTGGGCAACTGCACCATGCACCACATTTCAACTTCTGCGCTGGGCTTGAGTTCAACTTTTCAGGGGAACCAGGTGGTTCACAGGTTAATAGGATCTTCAACATCTAGGACACCACCTCAAATCCAGTCTTGTTTGTGGGTGATTGACAGCTATTAGCTAATGATGGCTATTTGGTGACTTGCGTGAAGTCATTTTCCTACTAGACAAGTGTCTGCATCACAAAGACTATCAGCATAGTTAATACACATTCCCACCTTTCTGGAAATCTCAAGAGAGAGACCAAAGACTAAATAGACCATATAGACTGAAATAAGAGTCCTCAGCACATGGACTGGACAGAGTTGGGTTGTAGTGTTGCCACCTTTAATGTACCTCTTGTCTCTATAAAAAGAAGACTTCAGCCTCCAGATCAGGCAAACTGACACTTTTTATGGTTGCCTCCACTGATTCCCTAGATTCTTTTTCAGAACAGTGGGTGTTGTCTGGGGTTCTTTGCTCCGTGTCTCCTTTTGGTTCCCATGTTTTAACTCTGTGACCTGTACTCCCCTTCCTGTTTTTTCCATTCTTTGTCCCTGCTAATTTGTTGACCCCCTGTTCTTTAGTAACCTTCCCAGTCCTTATTTTTTGTTGTGGAATGGCTGCTAATGTTCCTTTTGGATGGGTTCCACCGATTCCTACAGGGATTAAATAGGCTGACACCTTTTTATGAGCACGAAATTCACATGAAATACTGAGGGTGGGGAGGAGGAGATGGTGGAGGAAACTTTTGCAGTTCTAGGGTATGTCTACGCTGCAATTAGACACCTGCTCCTGGCCAGCTGACTCAAGCTGGCAGGGTTCAGGCTGTAGGGCTATTTAATTGCGGTGTAAACATTCGCACTTCCCACCTCACAGGGTCCTAGTGCCTGGGCTCCAGCCCGAGCCCAAATATCTACAGTGCAGTTAAACAGCCGCTTAGCCTGAGCCCCACAAGCCCAAGTCAGCTGGCATGGGCCAGCCATGGGTTTTTAATTGCAGTTTAGATGTACCCTTAGTAAGCCAAGGTAAGTAGTGATGGCTTGTAAGAAATTTGAAGGTAAAAGCCACGTTATTATTTTATGGTACATTGATCAAAGTACAATAAGAGAATATTTTCCTCTCAGATGGCTTTCTCCTTTTGTTAATGCTTCTAATTTAATACCTCGAGAAAAATACATTTTATTAGAGGTTTCTCATCAGCTATTGTCCTATGTTGGTTTTTTGTTTCTTTTTGGTAGCAAAGCTAACCACCAAGTAGCCTCAGGACATGCAATTCTTACCTCCATGCATAGTACAGTATTATTTAAGACTCTAAATGCTAATTTAATGAAAATTGGTATATTCACAGTGTTCAGGAACCTAGGGCTTTATGCAAAGCAAAGCATAGACGAGTCTCTTCATTTGAGAAACTGCTGTTGGAAGAAAAGCTCGTTGAGGCTGCGTTTGGCAGTGTTTTAAAAGTACTGCAGGCACATGGTTGCTGTAAATGGACAAAAATTGATGGATGTGCTGTGAACTTCTAGTCTAAGCCATGGAACTCACCCTGCTATTATTCTACATCAATGTTCATCTCATAATCAAGTTTGATCTAATTTAAGTTTTATTTTTTTTTTAATGGAGTGAAGAATCATGCCCTAGGGTTGAAAGCAGAGTTTATCCATTACAATAGATCGATGAGGCTTGGCTCCTTACCATTTATCAGTACAACCTTTGTGTCTATTTTGGCTTTTGTCTGATTAGATTTTTCATTTAATGGTAGAGGGATAGCAGTCCCAATACACTCTTCTTTGTGAAGGAGTTTAGGATAATAACACTCACATAATGTTTCTAACCCAGTTTCCAGAAACCACTATCAAAGATTGGAGTTTTTAAAGACTTTTGTGAAGATACTGGCTGTTTTGTTTAAAACACTTAATCCGCTTAGGGGTTTTTCAAGAATACTTGAAAGTGCTGTCTCTGTGTCTGATTTTAGTACACTTGCCAGGAACCGGAGCAGAACTCTCAGCAATTATCAATGGTATGTGCACGTATAGGAGCAGGTGCTGAGACAGTAATAAGCCATCCTGCAAATCTGTGATCCAAATGTTGTAACTTCTCTTAGGGCCAAATTCAGCTCACGTCTGCCCTGGTGCAGCTCCCAGGGGCGGCTCAGGGCACCAGTGCAGCAAGCGCGTGCCTGGGGTGGCCTGCTGGTCCGGTCGCTGTGAGGGCGGCAGTCAGGCTGCCCTCGGCGGCACGCCTGCGGGAGGTCCGCCAGTCCCGCGGCTTTGGCAGCAATTGGGCGGCGGGACCAGAGGACCTCTCCCAGGCATGCCGCTGAATCTCCGTGACCAGCGGACCGCCCGCAGCGTGCCGCCGAAAGCCGTGCTTGGGGCGGCAAAAAACGTAGAGCCGCCGCTGGCAGCTCCACTGCAGTGGATTGAATGGCACTCACTTTAGACTCAGACTGAACTTGGCCCTTTTGGTGAAGTCCTCCTGGCTCCCAAAATTGAGCAGCACCTCAGTGATTACACTGAGTAGGATGGTCCAAGAAGTGGAAAGGACACAGAGGAGAACTCTTGGCCCCCTGCAGTCCTTCAGCATGGTATGTGGGAGTGTGTAGGGGATTTAAGGTCAGCCCAAGGGAGTGGTAGAGATGTGGAAAGTGTAGTGCATTTGGGGATTAAGGAATCACAGTTCTCCCCCCACCTTCCCTCTTTTCCCTACTGTGATGCTGGCAGACCAGGTGCCAGCTCATGCTGAAGGTCCAGGCCAATTCACTTGTGTATTAGCATAGATCAAAGTGATTGTTAAATGTATAAGAGTATATTGGTGTTTAAACTTCATGAAAACTAGTGGGATGTTACCTGCATTGTTTTCACATATCTGTATCCTGTTATTATGTAATAACAAACATTTACATTGTGTAAACCCCTGTAACTAAATAATCCATCAAAAGAGAAAGAAGCCTTGTGGAATGCAAATGAACTTTAACAGAAAAGTGCTCATTTTGAAGCAGGTGGTCATTGTGATGATCGGAGGTCAAAGACTCAAAATGTGTTCCTCTCTCTCTCTCATCAAAGGAAAGGCCCACATGGGTAGTGACATGTCAGCTTGTTTTCTATGAGAAGAAGCTATAAGTATGGATTCAGGGAAAAATCCTTCATCTCTGGACTGTATGGACTCCTAAAGGTTACAGGTGCAAAGTGGAGATCCCCACAGACAATCTGGGAACCCTGAAAAGTTTTTTGGGAAACTGGCAGTTTATTACATCACTGGCACCATTTGGAATTACAAACTGTGACTCACCTGTACATATATTTTACCTGCTTTAACTCTCAGTAACTCTTGCTTCCTTTTCTTAGCTAATAAACCTTTAGTTAGTTGACTATAGAATTGGCTACCAGCATTGTCTTTGGTGTAAGATCTAGAGTACCAATTGATCTGGGATAAGTGACTGGTCTCTTGGAATTGCAAGCAAACTGATGTGATGTGATTTTTGGTTTAAGTGACCTTTTATCACAAAGTCCATTTATCTGGGTGGCAAGATAGACTGGAGAGTCTAAGGGGACTGTCTGTGACTCCATGGTAAAATGTGTATAGTGATCCAGGAGTTCACATTTGTCACTGGCTTGGTGAAACCTCAATATAAAACACACCACCAGTTTGGGGCGTCTGCTCTGTTTTCTGACAATCTGCCCTGAGGTAGGCATTCACAGTCATGAACCACTCCAGACAGCATGACACCCACTTTCTGTTCAATAGTTTCTTTGAGGTTAATTTGGTGTGGTGTACAGGCCAATCCCTGAGCAAAAACAATGACCCTTGCTCATCAGACAGGAGAATAGCATTCCCATTGTTATCACACTGACTGTTATGAAAGAGCTGCAGCTGAGGAGGGGCGGGGAGTTCACTCCATCATGTTGGAACCTTCCGCCCTTCCCCCCCACACACACACACAAATTGTTCCTTGAATTCCTCTCACATCTATAACAATCTTTCTGGCTTCCTGTCATACAGCTAACAGGATGGTTCATAAAATGTACCCCAGAAGAGGGTACTATGAGAGTATTTCAATTGAAGTGGTTTCTCTGAGGGCACGTCTTCACTACCCGCCGATCCGGCGGGTAGCAATCGGTCTATCGGGGATCGACTTACCACGTCTAGTGAAGACGCGATAAAATCGATCCCTGATGGCTCTACCGTCGACTCCGGAAATCCACCGCGGCAAGAGGCGGAAGCGGAGTCGACGGCGGCGCGGCAGCGGTCGACTTGCCGCCATCCTCACAGCCAGGTAAGTCGACCTAAAATACGCCACTTCAGCTACGCTATTCACGTAGCTGAAGTTGCGTATCTTAGGTCGACCCCCCGCTGTAGTGTAGACCTAGCCTTAGAGAGAGCCTTGTCCTGCTCTCTTGTACTGGGGATCATGGGGACAGGGATTTTTCTTGAGCCCTAACAGGAAATGAATCCCATAACTTTCTAGTCAGCATTTTAAGGATCCCAATCCTATTGAAGTCAATGGAAAGAAATCTGGAGGCTTTGGATAAGGCTATAAGTCCCCTTTCTCTGTAGGGGTTTCCTAGTACAAATTATCACCTTCCTGAATTTTAACTCATTTGATTTCAGTGTTCCAAATCCTGTGAAGGAGGATTCCGGGTTCGAGAAGTACGATGTCTGTCAGATGATCTGACACCCAGTAACCAATGTGATCCACAGCTTAAACCAGAAGAAAAAGAACCTTGTAACACTCAGGATTGTATACCAGAAATAGGTAAGCAGACAGGAAAACTGGACTGTTTTGACTGTGGAACTCCATCTAGTGGAGAAAATATTTAACAATCCTGTATAGGCTCTCTGGGTTCAGCGTTTATTTTCTGTTCCAATTTTAGGAGTTCGTTTTTAAACAAAACAAGACTCTCTTTTTAAAAGGGTACAGTAGGTTTTCATAGACTTTAAAGCCAGAAAGGATCATCATGATCATTTACTCTGACCTAGTCACATTGCAGACCATAGAACCTAGGGTGACCAGACAGCAAATGTGAAAAATTGGGACAGGGTGTGGGAGGTAATCGGAGCCTATATAAGAAAAAGACACAAAAATCGGGACTGTCCCTATAAAATTGGGACATCTGGTCACCCTAATAGAACCTCACCCACCCACTCCTGTAATAGACCCATAACCTCTGGCTGAGTTACTGAAGCCCTCAAATTGTGATTTAAAGACTTCAAATTACAGAGAATCCACCATTTACTCCAGTTCAAACCAGCAAGTGACCTGTGCCCCATGGTGCAGAGGATGGCAAAAAAAACCCAGGGTCTCTGCCAATCTGACCATGGGGGAAATTCCTTCTTGACCCCAAATATGGTGATCAATTACACCCTGAGCTTGTGACAAGACCCACCAGGCAGACACGGGAAAGAATTCTCTGTAGTAACTCAGAGCCCTCTCCATCTAGTGTCCCATCCGGCTATTGGAGATATTTGCTGCTAGCCGTCACAGATCAGCTACCTGCCATTATAGGCAGTCTCATCATAACATCTCCTCCATAAACTTATCAAGCTCAGTCTGGAAGCCAGTTAGGATTTTTTGCCCCCACTGCGCTCCTTGGAAAGCTATTCCAGAACATCACTCTTCTGAAACTTTTGTCTAATGTCAAGCCTAAACTTGCTGATAGCCAGATTATATCCATTTGTTCTTGTGTCCACATCGGCGCTTAATTTAAATAACTCCTCTCCCTCCCTGGTATATATCCCTCTGATGTATTTAGAGACAGCAATCATGTCTCCCCTCAGCCGTCTTTTGATTAGGCTAAACAAGCCAAGCTCTTTGAGTCTTCTGATTAAAATGTTTTCCTTGAACACTATCAGAAATTGACTTCCCTTTGAAGTCCCAGAGAGCATGAGAGATTTTTGGATCTGCTAAAATGGCACATTTGGGTTAATTTTAGTGTGTATTTTATGGAACCTCGTATTTTGAATGTTTGATTTGGTGGGTTCTTACTGCTTTAACCCTAAAACCAGAAAATTTAATCATGTATAATATTCTAAGTCTTCTAATATCTTTTACAAGGAACTATGCATACACAAGACATTTTCTTTATTATGAACTTCCCGGTGCTGTTGCATACATTCATAGATTCCAAAGCCAGAAGAGACCATTATGAGCATCTAGTATCACCTTCTTTATAATACGGGCCATAGAACCTCCCCAAAATAATTCCTAGATTTCACTTTTCTTCTTGATTTTAAAATATCAACCTAAGATGTCAATGCAGAGTCAAATTTCTTTCATGAAATATATTAACCAAAATGTAACACGTTAGCATTAATTTGATATTGTCAGGGATTTTTTTCATAATTTTTATGGAATCATTTTATTACTAATTATAATTACTAGAGAAGGAGAGAAAGATGTATTAAGAAATAGGTGGAACCTCATTCTACTCTGCAGCAACATTCAGGTCAAATTTGTTCACAAATTTAGATTTTGTAAAAATTAGCTATTATGTAGCATAAGACTGATAGAAATGTTGTTCTTCCTCCTCCTCCTCCTCCATGTGGAAACAGTTTTGTTTAAAACAAATTAATACTGACAAGTCTCATGGTTTTATTGTGTGCCTTCTGTTATTTGGTCTTTTTCTTAAAATCCCTGCTCCTTGAGTTATGTGATTATGAGAGAATCTCAGTTTTCATCAAAAAAGCAAGTTTCTAGCCCTCATGGTTTTTAAATGTGAATGGAGTGCATCCTAGTGGCTCAGAACCCAGAAGGCAAATATAAAGAACCCAACATTTATTATTTTTCAAAATCTCAATATTTATAAGCCAATCTTGTGATTGTGGGGGGCCTGATTCATGACTTTTCAGTGCTTGGGGGTTGGTAGTACTGTTAATATTCCCCTGAAGCATTAGCCACCCAAACACTGCAGCATGGTATTTATTACCTGAGAATCTGAAAGTGAAAATGACACAAACCTGACTATAAATACAAGTGCTACTGTCTAGTCTATTTGTATTATTCAAGCCAAATTAAGTGTAAAAAGCAAACACAAATTATTAAAAGTAAAGTAGATTGTTTTAAATATGTGCATTTTTTTCTAAATTTATTCAAATAAAAAAAGTTCTTGTAGTTTTAATAATTTAACTTACTTACATCAATAGGCTATTTTTAAATATATGCTTTTTTCACCTGACAGTAAATCTTTAAAAATAAATTTGCACTCTACCATAATCTGCTCTGATAACATAATCTTTCTGAATCATAAAAGTCTGTGCTTTTTTTCCCCCCCCAGATGAAAATTGCAAAGACAAATACTACAACTGCAATGTGGTGGTGCAGGCCCGTCTCTGTGTCTATACCTATTACAAGACAGCCTGTTGTGCATCCTGCACAAGGGTGGCCAATAGACAATCAGGTTTTCTAGGACGCAGATAACAACTACTCCATCACCCGTAGCGTCCATGTTTAACTTCGATATGGGAACATAAACAGTGTTACTGTTTGGACTGCAACAGGTTCTGCCTTCTTAAAGAGATGGTTTCCATATTGCTGAGCACATCAAGACTATGGTTATGTCTCACACATAACATGCAGCATATAATAGGAGCTTTTTGGCTTTTTAAAATGTTCATTGTAAAACCGTGATTTTTAAAGCATTATTTTTTACTGATACTATTGTATGCATCTGTTCATCAAATAATTGTTATTTAAGGAAAATACCACCCTTCTTGTTATGAACTGAATGAAAGGAAAATCAGTCAAATGCATTTATTGGAGATGTTTGACCAGTACAGATACAGCAGCATGATCATTTGCTGAGTATCAACCCTTCTTTGGTGTTTTGGACTTAAATTAGTAGATGGTATCAGTAGAACATGTACATGAGAAGTGTTATGTCGTAAAAAAACCCAACACCCTTAGGACCCATTTAAGCTCAATTTCCTGGCACCCTAATATGTGTGTTTTATTACCTCAACCCTTCATACTAAATTAGTGTCATGATTAAGCTCTCTTTCACTAACTTCCTGCCTTCAACTAAGCAGCAAATGTACACACATTGACTGCCTATAAGTGCCTTGTATCTAATTCATAAACTAGTGCATTAAAGTTATAGCCTGTAATTCTGTATGGATGTTGAAAGCAATATATTACCCACCACAGTGCCCTTAAGTCTTTTAAGTCTTCTCTTTAACATGTGAAGCTAACAGCTGAAGCTCAAATGGGTGATGTTCCTCCACTGATCTAAATTGTCAGTTTACACCAGCAGAGGATCTTCCACCATGATGTAGCAATCTCGCTGCATAATAATTTTTCATTTTAGAAGTGTTCAGTACGTAATAGGATCAATCCAAATGTGTATAAGGTTCAATTAGGATTGCCATCAGTTTCTGAAGCTGCCACCAAAGGATCTGGCCCTCTGTCTCTAACATGTTTTCATAACCCTTTGGTATCAGCCGTCTCTGGTGGGGATTTTATATATATATAAAATCTTATATATATAGCAGTTAGTATGTATATATATATACTAACTGCTAGTGCAGTAGTTTGGAAGTCTGTATTAAGGAAATTCTGACTCCTAGCTGTTGAAGGATTATTACAGTGTAGTTTGTCTTGTTTTCATCCTGTTTTGTTCCTCAGTAAACTTACTCTAAAAGAATAGCATCTATTTACACCATGTCTCCCTGTTCCAGTCAAGAATGGTTACAGATTTGCACCTGGGTTAGATGATCTTCATTTTCTACACTTACTGTACTCAGTCCTGGAATTTGCTAGAGCTAAACAGAATGAGACATTCAGTGCAGATAAAGGCATTCAGTGCAGATTAAAGGTATTAAACTACCTGAAAATTTCACAGTTCATCCACTTTTATTGAGTCTTTTAAAATATTTCTGTGTAAGTAGCGCTGAGTTCTATTGGTGGAAAAAAATAACTTGCTTATTGAATTACTCATTGCAATGTACTCTAAACCCTACTGATATCTTTAATCTTGAGTCCATTTTTAAGGTGTCCACTGTCTGAATTCAAAAACGGTGCCAAATAATCCTATTTATACCTGATACATGTTTACTGTTGAGCTTTATGCTAGTCCTATGTTGATTATCTCTGAGCCCTATTGTACCATCAATGTTTGATCAGGAGTCCCTATTGTAATCAGTGGGAGTTCTCCTTTGTCTCTAAAATTTGATGTCACAATAATGATTCTTTGTGATTAGAAATTATTAAATGTGATTAGATTTGATTACCCTCTAATTAATTTAATTAAACAATGGGAGACCTGTATGAAATTGAAAGACTAATTATATACCTTTTTTTTTTTTGAGTTAATGATCCCTTCTCAGTCCTATGCCTTTATGTCATGAAAAGTCATCCATCAAGGACTTTATATAGCTCTTGAAGATCTGAGATTACACTGTATACAGTAGATTCTTGACCAAAGAATTATGGGGAGGAACTGTCAAATTTCCAATGGTGGTAAATATAAATTTTCATATGAATGTCACATTGTAGCAAATCCTGACAAACTGTATCTAATTTTGTTGTTTCTCTTTTGCCTTAAGAGAAGTGTATTTCATCTACTTTAGGGAAGTATCTGTAGCATAAAAAGATTATTTACATCCCAGATGAAGAAATAAATTATAGTTGACACAACAATAATATATGACCCATAAACAGTTTGCACATACCTTTGGATAAGGTAAATAATTTAAGCTGAACAGTGAGTTGGTAAGTAGGTATGTAAACGTGGTGCCTTACACGGTTTGTAGGCAAGTTATAAAATGTGTTGCTCTTGAATACATGGCAGTTGGGATGGCTTAGAAGGATTTATCTTTTTGTGGGCTCCATTAATGTACCATTGAAGACGGCAAAGTTCATAAGAGCCAAGTATAAAAGGGTATATATCTATGTATATATACCCTGTATTACTCCTCAGATTCATTGCTTTGTTAGTTGAATGTGGTCACTTATATTGATAGTTATATAAACTGAGCTATCTGGTGTAAGGCCAGTTTTCATATATACTATTTAAAAAGTATTAGTCTCACCTAATTAAACACCATGCAGTAAGGAGTCAGCCTGATTGTGGCCAGATTTAATCTCTTGTTGTCACTGGCAAGTTTCACTATAATTATGATAGATGTTTTTAGAATATAAACTAATCAACTCTCCTTTCCTACACACACTGATGCAGAAGGACTAATATTATCTATGGTAATATTTCATTGTCACATGAAGTGCACTTTTAAAACTATTCATTTAAACCAGTTATTGCATTTTAATTATTACAAGTGTTTGTTTTTATATAGCAGTGCTCCAGTTTAGCCTGACACCATGTATAGTTCCTGATTCTTTCACTTACATTGATGTAAATTAGGAATGGCACTAATGAACTCAGTGGAGTTACACGGGTATAAAACCAGTGTAAGCAAGTGCAGAATCAGGCTCATTAATTTGAACAACACCTTTTCTTTATTGTGTGTTAATACGTAGTAGAAAAAACATTATTTCTCACCTTTCAAATCTTCAGGTTACATGATCTGGGATAAAATAGAAGATCATAGTAACTATGGGGACAATATGTGGATCGTCAATATAAGGCAAACTGGTGAAAAGTGATTACCTGAAGCCAGCACACAACAAAGGGAGCCCCACATCTGGCTTCTCAAACATCTGTAGAGAACCCATTTTGCTGATCTTACATGACAGAGGCAGATTTTGAGGGGTGATACAAAAGCAAGAGGGCAAGGTTTGCATGGTTTTGCATGAACATCACACAACCCAGCCGTGGTTTCAACACACTCATACAATTACGACTAATGTAATGTAATAATCTGTCTTTGGGGCATAATACATCAGGATCTAGAATTAATGTTGTTTTTACAATGTTTATATGATCCCATTTCCATAGCCAAATGGTACAGATCCAAAATTGGGTCCTTTTAAGTAGGAAAACACTTGCTGTATTTTCGAGATTTGTTAACTCAAAAGTTCATAGACAAGGCACATATGGATGAGATAGCCACAACTTAACTGAGTTCAGTGGGACTACTCACATTCAGGAGTGTTTGGAGTGCTAATAGCTACTGCCATACCTGCTTACGCAACAAGAATGTTTGATGTTTAGAGCAGTGCTAAGTGATCAGACCATTTTATTACCTTGAACAGAGGACTAGCTGGCACAGCTGTGGGAATTAATACAAGGTGGTTTTTTTTTTGGAGTGAGCGAGAACAAGATAGCTTTTAACAGTTTGTGTCAGAAATAAGACTAGTTATTAGTAGAGCTATTCTCCTGATAGTTCAACCAGCTCCTGAACCCTTGGTGGTTCGTTTTATTAAAATAACTACTGAATGAATTCCTGTGCAATGAACCCAGAGTACCTATAACTGCACAATTATGAAAGTATGTATTGTTCCTGTATTCTCACATACAACATCTGCTGTTTTAAAAGTACCATTAGAGCAATCATGTATAGATTGAATAGCAGAAAAAATCTTTGCAGGACTTGGTTTTTATGGCACAGCTGTGTTTAATGCCTTTTGGCTCCTCTCTATAAAAGCATTTGTTGGTCTATGGGGCAGTTAATTGGGAAATTCAAACAATGAATGCTGAAAGTAAACTTTCTTCGTTCCTAACATGGCTTACAGAATATATTAGTGGGGGTTATGTTAGTTTCTATTTAGGGAGCTGAATCAAAGCAATCTACTAACACTTAACATTTTCATCTTTAGTGTTTTTAAATGGGCAAACTAATTTGCATTATAAGAAACAATTATTGGGTCAAATTCTGACCTGGTGAAAGCAGGTGCAACTTTATTAGAAATGCATCCACTAACACTAGGTCTGAATTTGGCCCTTTGTCAATTTTCAATGAAACACAAGGGAGTATAGTTACATTTTTTTAAATGGAGACCCCTTGGAATTTTAATGGATTGGGAAATGCAAACTCCCATTATCTTTTGGGCTTGATTATTTCCTTTGAAAATTCAACACTTTCCCAGTGACTTTCTAACAACACTGCTTTCATTAGCCTGCTTTGTCATGGTGCACTGTGTGGGTCTCTTCAGAACTGACCCTGCAATGTGCTCATCATGGGTGGACGTAGGTGCCCTTGCTGACCCTCCCTGAAGTCATCAGGGACATTGTTAAGCAGGGGTGTTGGAACAATTTGTATAGTTGGGGTGATGAGAGCCATTGAACCACACTGTAAATCCTGTATATGATGGCAACCACTTGAAGCTAGGGGGTGCAGAAGCACCCTCAGCACCTCTAGTTCCAGCAACTATGTCTTCATGGACTGGGGCCTTAACTGTGCAGATCATCAAGCCTCGATTTGAGTGACACAAAAACCCTACTTTATATATGTAAAATTACATACATTTCACCTTAACCCAGTCATCCATCTTGGCAGAAGGATATACTTTATTATAACTTATTTTTTGTTATTTGTAAATACAAGATGTTTATAGGAAATATGTATTCTGAGCTATGTCTATGGAACAAGCCACTGCACCAAAATAGTTCAATTATTTAGAATATGCAGATTTTTATTAAAGGGACCTAATGTGTATTTATTTACATATGCCATCTACATTTTTGTCCAGGTCTTTCATCATACTAATCCAAGTTTTCATGGAATTTTATAGCATATATATATATGTCATATTGTAAATCCATAGTTACCATTTTGTAATTTTCTGATTAGCCAGTTTCTTGAGTGGATTTAAAGGGGGAGTATAAGTTAAAGTACTTTGTGACTAGTTCAGGAATATGTATCCCTGGCAATGCACCCGAACCTGAACTGTACAGCATCCTTTTCATATTGCATACATTTTCTCTTTGATGGAAAAAGTTAACTATTTTTGTTTATGACTAATTTATTTTTTATTATTGTGAAAAATAAAGTAATTAAAGATCAGCTTTTGTGACACGGTTTATTTCCTATTTGGTGAACCCTATGTAACTCCTGTACACAGGAGTTAAACATATGTATCAACAGTAGAATAGATCCCTGGAGGGATCTAATTAACATGCCTTATCTAGTA